GACGGATTAATTATTATAATCCAATGTTTGTGTTAAATAGTCATGTTAATACCCATATCACATTTAATAATGACAGAATGCATTTGAATCTTCACACACAGTAAAACCTTTTGTATCACTTTATACAATTATCGATATGAGTGGGGGGAATACGTACTCGTGCATTGATACGCACACCAAAACCGGCATTAACGATAAGTAATAAAATAAAGACGGCACTTCTAAAATGATTTTCACGCCATAGCCTGCTGAATTTGCAAGATCACATTTCTTTCATTTTGATTTCGGCATAAATGAAAATGTGGCTCGCCCGTGGATTGATGTTTCAGCATTGTCTCAATGAAGAGTTCGGCGTTCGACTAGGCCGTGCGACATGCACGCGCAGTTCTAAACCTAGAGTTAGCCGCAGGCAGAAGATGAATATCCACGGTCGTAGTATGGATGTAGCCAGGGGTTATTGTTCTTCAGTGGGGTTTATCGGCGGTTGGCATCCAACGTTACGGTGCATTACCGCCACCTACTGTACTGGAGTGAGGACCAGAGACCGGGAGAAACTAAATCCTACCTGCCAGCCCCGTTGCTCTTAAAAAGATAACAAAATATTTGAGACTATATCTAATGACGTTCTACTCAATATACTCTTTAAACCAATTTCCTGTATCCCCTTCTCCCTCATACTAGATCTCATCCTCTCGCTTTCCCTCTGATACTGCCCACACTGTAGCAATACATGCTCAATGGTCTCTGTTTCCTGGCAATAATCACTTTCCTGTTGGATGCTTTCCTATCACATTTAAGGTCTTATTCAACTGGCTGTGTCCCACCCTTAATCTTGTAAAAATAGCCTCCTCTCTTCTGTTCCTTCCTGCCAGCCTCCCCTCCCCGACTTTCCTCTGTACTTGAAATTAATGCCTGCCCTTAGTATCTCTATTCCACTGCTCCTGCCATCTCTGCACCATTACTGTCCATATCAGGCTTTCCCCTCTGCCTTGCTCATTGAAACTACAACATCAACATCTCCACAACTAAGTGCTTGTTTAGCCAGTACATCAAGTACCTCATTCCCCTCCACCCCCACATGGGCTGGGACCCAAGTACATTTTATCTGTATACCAATCTGTTTAATCCTGCCATGGGTTTGTAGCACATCATAAAGCAGGTCTTGTCTGCTACATTAGCTAAAGGACTGGAGACTCATTAACACTGCACATGAATCAGAGCAATTAACTACTCTGTCTGGCTTAACTTCCTCCACCCACTGCAAGGCCAACAGTATGGCCATCAGCGCCGCCGTATATAGAGCCAGATTATCTGTAATACATTTCCTGACTTCCACCCCACATTCCTGAACTACAAATGCTGACCCAATACGTCCTGTCCTTGGATCTTTTGAACCATCTGTTGTAAATGGCCACAAAATCCTGATACACAGTATCCAGACGTCTCTTAAACAAATCAGATGGATCAACACTCCCCCTACCTTTCTGTAGTCTCTGCAACACTTCTAGATCAACAACTGGAGGCATGAGTAGCCATTGTGGATTTACAGGAATAGCTACCGTTGGACTAAACTCCCTTCCATACAGTCCCATCTCCTTTGCCTGGGTATTACCCACCCACCAACCCAAAGCTTGTGTTCTGTCTTCGCTCATGTTCCCAGCATGCCTGTAAAATCCCTTTCGCAGGATGAGGCACCCCATGTCCCTGTAGGTTGACCCAATAATTAATTGCCAGCTGCCGTCTCCTAATTTGCAATGGCATATCCCCCATCTCCACCTGTAATGCAGCCACTGGGGACGTCCGAAACGCCCCACTACATATTCTGAGTCCTTGCCCCTGTATGACATCTTGCCTTTCCAATGAGGTCCGGGCAGCCCGGCTGCATTACAGGTGGAGATGGGGGATATGCCATTGCAAATTAGGAGTCACTACTGCCATCGTCTATTACAGATCGGATCATTGCAACATAGTCGTGGTCAAAAGTTTTGAGAATGACACAAGTATTGGTCTTCACAAAGTTTGCTGCTTCAGTGTTTTTAGATATTTTTGTCAGATGTTACTATGGTATACTGAAGTATAATTACAAGCATTCCATAAGTGTCAAAGGCTTTTATTGACAATTACATTAAGTTTATGCAAAGAGTCAATATTTGCAGTGTTCACCCTTCTTTTTCAAGACCTCTGCAATCCGCCCTGGCATGCTGTCAATTAACTTCTTGGCCACATCCTGACTGATGGCAGCCCATTCTTGCATAATCAATGCTTGGAGTTTGTCAGAATTTGTGGGTTTTTGTTTGTCCACCCGCCTCTTGAGGATCGACCACAAGTTCTCAATGGGATTAAGGTCTGGGGAGCTTCCTGGCCATGGACCCAAAATGTCGATGTTTTGTTCCCCGAGCCACTTAGTTATCACTTTTGCCTTATGGCAAGGTGCTCCATCATGCTGGAAAAGGCATTGTTCGTCACCAAACTGTTCTTGGATGGTTGGGAGAAGTTGCTCTCGGAGGATGTGTTGGTACCATTCTTTATTCATGGCTGTGTTCTTAGGCAAAATTGTGAGTGAGCCCACTCCCTTGGCTGAGAAGCAACCCCACACATGAATGGTCTCAGGATGCTTTACTGTTGGCATGACACAGGACTGATGGTAGCGCTCACCTTGTCTTCTCCGGACAAGCTTTTGTCCAGATGCCCCAAACAATCGGAAAGGGGATTCATCAGAGAAAATGACTTTACCCCAGTCCTCAGCAGTCCAATCCCTGTACCTTTTGCAGAATATCAGTCTGTCCCCTGATGTTTTTCCTGGAGAGAAGTGGCTTCTTTGCTGCCCTTCTTGACACCAGGCCATCCTCCAAAAGTATTCTCCTCACTGTGCATGCAGATGCACTCACACCTGTCTGCTGCCATTCCTGAGCAAGCTCTGCATTGGTGGTGCCCCGATCCCGCAGCTGAATCAACTTTAGGTGACGGTGCTGGCGCTTGCTGGACTTTCTTGCACGCCCTGAAGCCTTCTTCAGAACAATTGAACCTCTCTCCTTGAAGTTCTTGATGATCTGATAAATGGTTCATTTAGGTGCAATCTTACTAGCACCAATATCCTTGCCTGTGAAGCCCTTTTTGTGCAAAGCAATGATGACAGCACGTGTTTCCTTGCAGGTAACCATGGTTAAGCACCACCCTCCTTTTAAAGCTTCCAGTCTGTTATTCTAACTCAATCAGCATGACAGAGTGAACTCCAACCTTGTCCTCGTCAACACTCTCACCTGTGTTAATGAGAAAATCACTGACATGATGTCAGCTGGTCCTTTTGTGGCAGGGCTGAAATGCAGTGGAAATGTTTTTTGGGGATTAAGTTCATTTTCATGGCAAAGAGGGACTTTGCAATTAATTGCAATTCATCTGATCACTCTTCATAACATTCTGGAGTATATGCAAATTGCCATCATAAAAACTGAGGCAGCAGACTTTGTGAAAATTAATATTTGTATCATTCTCAAAACGTTTGACCACAACTGTACATGGTTCTCAATGAGGAATGCCTAGCCCCCATTCCTTCCCCGTCAGACAGTGCATCACATTTAACACCTTCTTACACTTTCCCACCACTCTCTCAATGTGTTCTTCCCAGGTCAGTGTCAAAGTATACCCCAAGGAACCTGAAGGCCCCCACCCTCTCCAAGTTTCTCCCATATAACCTCAAGCATACCTCTACCCCCACCTTCCTCCTGGTAAAGAACACTGTCTGAATTTGCAGCCTGTGTTGGAAAGTGACGTTAACTAAAACTGGGAGTGTATTCATTACAGAAACCATCTAGCGTTTAAAGAACCAAACAAAAAGGGGCAGGACCTACCAGAATTTGTCCAATAGAAAGTATTGTTTGAGTTTTCCGTTTGCAAAACTTTCTGCAACAGAATCAGCGTAATGATTACACCCCTGGCTAGCTTTAGAAAATCCTGAATAGATCCAGCTTCCTTCGTAATATACCGGAAGAGGAAGAGAGAGGCCCAACTCGGCTGAAAATCTGTCTCCCTCCAGCAGGTGGGGTTGTTTCATTGTTTCGCCCACCAAGCAAGTTTTTGTATGGGGGTCAATGAGTGTCTAATTTGGTCCCCAAAAATGAATGGCTTTTTTTGCTAAGTGAAGTTTATTTGATCAAATAGAAGTTTCATAATGCTTACATTTGTTATTATGCATATTCATGTCACGAGGCTAGTAGCATAGCATCTCTCTCCATTGAATACCGGCGGTTGAAGTCAACAACCCTCATCGAATATTCAAATAAATATTACAATAATGAGATGTATCCACCAATCCAAAGAAAGGATAGGCAGGAGCTAGACAGCCCGCCATGCTGTTTGTGAACGACGACGTCTATTGTTTGGGCGGAGAGACATATCTCGTCAGTATATCCATAATCTTCGGTATACCCCTCTGGTCTTCCAGGTTGGTTAAATCAAACACATTACGTGCCTGTGCCACTCCAGGACCGGGGTTGCCTACCCCTGCATTGGAGCTTGCAAGCATGTTCAATTCATTCTATTTCTATGTTCTGACAGGTAGAAAGAGAGTCCTGACCCAAGAACTCAGTTTGCTCACTTCTCTCTTTAATCACCATGAACACAATGTTGTAATGCAAAATATTTGTCACACAACATCCAAGCCTTTTCCTGTATGTGTACAAGGGAGAAAAATAATGTTTCAGTGTACAAAACGTTATTTTGTTGCTCACACGGCACTCTTATCCAAAAGCCAGTGAGTGATAAGAGGTTTGCCTATTGAATAATGAACACTCCAGTGGATCAAACGTATGCCATCCACTAATGGTCTAAATAAATGTTACCCATTGACAAAATCGATAACCTGAATAAACCAGTCAATCCACCCACGAGTATGACCCAATCACTTTTCTTTTTTAGCACTGCAGATCTGATGTTAATTTCAGTACCAAGCACTGCATGTGCATTCATATAGTATTTTCTCAAAAGATTGCTTTGAACGCCTAGTTCGACTGTTGATCTCTCCACGCCTGCTGCAGGTGTAAGGTCTCTCCGATGTGGATCTTCTGATGCCTCTTTAGGTTTTCCCCGCGGCTGAAGCTCTTGCCGCACTGGCCGCAATAGTACGGCTTCTCCCCTGTGTGGACCCTCTTGTGCTTTTTGAGGTCCCCGGCCTGACTGAAACACCGGCCGCACTGAAGGCAGCAGTAGGGTTTCTCGCCCGTGTGACAGCGCTGGTGGATACGCAGGTTCCCCACCCGGCTGAACGTCTTGCCGCACACGAAGCAGCTGTGAGGCTCGTCCCTCCTGAAGTGTTGCCTGTGGTGTTTCCTCCCGTCCCTGCTGTTTTTCCCGAACCCAAACCTCCTCCCGACGCTGTTGTGACTCGAGTGGACGAATACGAGTTCATTATATGGTCCTGTGCTCACATGAGACTTGTGAGCACTCGTTGTTGGGTCGTAGCGCGTGGAATTGCAGCTTAAATCGACACAATCAAAGGTCTCCGGGATAGTCAGCGGTTCAGGTGCTGAGCACTCGGTGGGCTCGGGTTCCGTCTTGATAACAGTCAGATTGATGCCAAGCTGGGTGTTTCCCTGAGAAGCGCTATTCAAGTCTGAATGTGAGTCCTTTTTCAGACCCTGAGGCACGTGGACCGAAACAGCTTCATCTGATTGCTGTGCCACCCTCTCATGATGCCCGGGTAAGGTTAGGGTAAAGTTACACTCTGTCTCATAGTCTGCTGTTTGATCCAGCTCCAGTGCATTGTACTCCTCCTCCTCCTGCCTTAGTCTCACAGTCTGTTCGAAGGTGAGTGCTGGTTTCTCGTCTACCTGTGTGGGCTCTGGGCTGTCCTGTCTCAGACTAGGGCTCCAACCCTGCTCTGACGGTTTCTCGATGGCCGCTCTTCCACAGCCACCAGTCGCAGGAAATGTTGCAAGTTTAGCAGCTGCAAAACAAAACGGTGAAAGGGTGAACTTGAGCAAGCAGCAGAAAATGGCATGTTATTGATTTGATTATGTTGGCCAGCCACCCGCCACCATTGAGACACTATCACGACTCACCTGTGTTCTCTCTCTTCATCTTGTCCTGCATTTCCTGCAGTCTTCTCCTCAGACTCTCATTCTCTCTTTGAGTTCTGGCTGTTTTCTCCTGGTACTCTGATACAGTCTCTTTCACCACCTCCAGAACCTCATGCACTGCCACCGTCAGCAGCTTCGCCACACGGGCATTCAGACGCTCAATTTTGGACATCCTGAAAGGAACATAAACAGAGGTGTCTGCTGGTCTGGACCAAAAACTATTGCATTACCTTCATTTCATAATAAGCAAACAGTGCAGTGTCAATTCACTTGCCACTAGATATTGATAGGAGGGATTGACTGTTATTGAATGACATATTGAGCAGATTATCCACTTAGAACAGAATGCTCAACCAATGAGAATGCTCATTGGTTGATCACCCTCTTTGGTTGTAACTCTGTAGTGGTGTTGCACGGTATACCGAAACTTCGATACTAGAACATGAAAAATGGTTTGGTACTAGAATTTGTTACTTTCTGTACTTCTGTCAAATGTGTCTCACATCGTATACTGATTGAGAGGATGAAGTCTGTATCAGCGCAGCCGATGTCCCCTTATGGCGTGAGCGCACCTTTCATGCCTCTTGCCTGCTCCATTTACTCATTGCTAGCTCCCCACTCATGCTGCACAGAAGATAACAAGCTTGAATAATGCAACACGGCATGTAGAAATGTTGAAACTCTTCGCAAAACAATGTCCATACAGGCTAGAAACCTTTTACAATGCAAGAAGATACTGGTAGCTTCCAGTTTTAATTGTAGGCAAACTTTCCTTGCTAGCTTACAGCTGAAGCTAACATCAATCAATTCACGACCCTAGTACTTTGTTTGTGATATGCAAACCATAACACAAAATATGCTGATTTCAAAGCCGATCGTCACCAAAAGCGTTATTAATTCACTTAATCTTCTCTGCATCACATCCAAAGATACTTTCCAACCATCTGTCACGTCTCCCTCAAAACACTCCTGTGTGGGCATATGCCTCGTCATGAATGACTTCATTACTGGATTTTATAAAGAAGAGATTGCAAATGTTGATCAGTACAATAAAATAAGTCCCAAATGGATGGGAACCAGATTGTCATCTGTAGCCACATGAAATCAGTGAAAACAAGCACAATAACTCAATGTATGCACTTACTGATTGAATATGCATTCACCTGTATTGTGAATAGGCTGCCTAGGCCATCTTGATTTACCATGTTTATCAATAGAGAATTGCCATTCAAAGACATTAATACCGTTATGTAGTTAGATTGGTAAATACAAAGTCAAATTAATTGTATGATTGTACAATTTATTCATTAATGCATACATGGCTGAATCTGAAAAATGTTGACATCAAATTGAAATGTAATGATAATTAACTCAAAATGTCCAAGCTGAGTTTATCTGTTTGGATCAAGTGCCATTCTGTGATTTTGGCTATGGCTAATACGTTTTTTTTGCCGTGGTATCGTTTTGGTATCGAGTATCATGATGTATCGAGTATCGTGCTACTAAACCTGGTATCGAAAGAAATTCTGGTATCGTGACAACACACTAGTGGTGGGATCCCAGTCAGTGGGTGGGATACACTTTGTGTATGACACTCAAGTTTAAACAAAAAAAGTCAAACAATAGATACCTTTTTTGGGGTCGTTTATCCCTCTCTTTGTTGACACTGTTATCCGCCGACTAGGTGTCCAAAACAACAGGCAAGTTTGTATGGGAAATGGGCTAGCCAGCTAACGCGTTAGTTAGCACAATCACACGACAGTCTCAATAAAAAACGTGTTCAAGCTTTGGCTTACAACTTTTTAAAGTAATGAAAATAAAATGTACATTGTAAACGAAATAATCCTCTTATGAATACAGGTTAACTCATTGAATTAAGATTCATGTTTTGATAGAAAACAAAAACACGAAGCAGCCTCTAGATATGACGCCCGCTATGAAGCAGGCAAGAAAAACGTACTTCCAGGTCACGGATATTCTTCGATGAGGTTTAACGGCGGTTGGCATCCAATAAATGTTGCATTACCGCCACCTACTAGACTGGAGTAAACTCCCTTTTACTTTGTTAAAAAATAAATAAAAATAAAAATACCCTACCTACTCACAAAAACCCACTCCACTATTTAAATCTATTTAGTCCTACCTCAGGCCAACAGCCTGAAAGGATGGGACACCACCACTTAACACACCCTGTAACTTTTCTGACATAAAGTCTCGCACACCCAAATACCTCTCTGCAGCTGCCGCCACCACCACCTAATTTTTCTGTGACTTACGTTCCATCCCTGCAGTACAGTTGATAACCATTGCTATAAATGCTAAAAATCCAATCTTACTGAAACATACCACTTGTTGGCCTATCCTTCTGTACTGGTACAGCTCTACAACTCACACCACTCCTCTCAGGATCCCTCCCCCTTGACCCATCTTCCTCTACTCTCTTCACTGCCTCAGCATACGACAACTTCTGCACTACTCTAACCCTGGAAACCTCAACCTGCCTCTCTCGCACCGGACAGTTCTGATCCCCAGCCCCATGGGCACCCCTACAATTAACACATACCACTACTTTCCCCAATGCTACACATTATTTTCTCTCATGCCCATCTGCACACTTCTCACACCTAGGAACCTCCCTCCTACACACTGCTGCCACATGCCCATAAGCTTGACACCTGTAACAACGTAATGTATTCGGCACAAAAGCTTGTACGGGATAACTTATACAGTGGGGAGAACAAGTATTTGATACACTGCCGATTTTGCAGGTTTTCCTACTTACAAACCATGTAGAGGTCTGTAATTTTTATCATAGGTACACTTCAACTGTGAGAGACGGAATCTAAAAATCCAGAAAATCACATTGTATGATTTTTAAGTAATTCATTTGCATTTTATTGCATGACATAAGTATTTGATACATCAGAAAAGCAGAACTTAATATTTGGTACAGAAACCTTTGTTTGCAATTACAGAGATCATACGTTTCCTGTAGGTCTTGACCAGGTTTGCACACACTGCAGCAGGGATTTTGGCCCACTCCTCCATACAGACCTTCTCCAGATCCTTCAGGTTTCGGGGATGTCGCTGGGCAATGCAGACTTTCAAAGATTTTCTATTGGGTTCAGGTCTGGAGACTGGCTAGGCCACTCCAGGACCTTGAGATGCTTCTTACGGAGCCACTCCTTAGTTGCCCTGGCTGTGTGTTTCGGGTCGTTGTCATGCTGGAAGACCCAGCCACGACCCATCTTCAATGCTCTTACTGAGGGATTTAGGTTGTTGGCCAAGATCTCGCGAAACATGGCCCCATCCATCCTCTCCTCAATACGGTGCAGTCGTCCTGGTCCCTTTGCAGAAAAACAGCCCCAAAGCATGATGTTTCCACCCCCATGCTTCACAGTAGGTATGGTGTTCTTTGGATGCAACTCAGCATTCTTTGTCCTCCAAACACGACGAGTTGAGTTTTTACCAAAAAGTTATATTTTGGTTTCATCTGACCATATGACATTCTCCCAATCCTCTTCTGGATCATCCAAATGCACTCTAGCAAACTTCAGACGGGCCTGGACATGTACTGGCTTAAGCAGGGGGACACGTCTGGCACTGCAGGATTTGAGTCCCTGGCGGCATAGTGTGTTACTGATGGTAGGCTTTGTTACTTTGGTCCCAGCTCTCTGCAGGTCATTCACTAGGTCCCCCCGTGTGGTTCTGGGATTTTTGCTCACCGTTCTTGTGATCATTTTGACCCCACGGGGTGAGATCTTGCGTGGAGCCCCAGATCGAGGGAGATTATCAGTGGTCTTGTATGTCTTCCATTTCCTAATAATTGCTCCCACAGTTGATTTCTTCAAACCAAGCTGCTTACCTATTGCAGATTCAGTCTTCCCAGCCTGGTGCAGGTCTACAATTTTGTTTCTGGTGTCCTTTGACAGCTCTTTGGTCTTGGCCATAGTGGAGTTTGGAGTGTGACTGTTTGAGGTTGTGGACAGGTGTCTTTTATACTGATAACAAGTTAAAACAGGTGCCATTAATACAGGTAACGAGTGGAGGACAGAGGAGCCTCTTAAAGAAGAAGTTACAGGTCTGTGAGAGCCAGAAATCTTGCTTGTTTGTAGGTGACCAAATACTTATTTTCCACCATAATTTGCAAATAAATTAATTAAAAATCCTACAATGGGATTTTCTGGATTTTTTTCTTCTCAATTTGTCTGTCATAGTTGACGTGTACCTATGATGAAAATTACAGGCCTCTCTCATCTTTTTAAGTGGGAGAACTTGCACAATTGATGGCTGACTAAATACTTTTCCCCCCCACTGTACATACAGTTGAAGTCGGAAGTTTACATACACCTTAGCCAAATACATTTCAACTCAGTTTTTCACAATTCCTGACTTTTAATCCTAGTAAAAATTCTCTATCTTAGGTCAGTTAGGATCACCACTTTATTTTAAGAATGTGAAATGTCAGAATAATAGTAGAGAGAATGATTTATTTCTGCTTTTATTTCTTTCATCACATTCCCAGTGGGTCAGAAGTTTACATACAATGGTAGCATTGCCTTTAAATTGTTTAACTTCGGTCAAACGTTTAAGGTAGCCTTCCACAAGCTTCATACAATAAGTGGTAGAGCTGGTGTAACTGAGTCAGGTTTGTAGGCCTCCTTGCTCGCACACGCCTTTTCAGTTCTGCCCACACATTTTCTATAGGATTGAGGTCAGGGTGTTGTGATGGCCACTCCAATACCTTGACTTTGTTATCCTTAAGCCATTTTGCCACAACTTTGGAAGTATGCTTGGGGTCATTGTCCATTTGGAAGACCCATTTGCGACCAAGCTTTAACTCCCTGACTGATGTCTTGAGATGTTGCTTCAATATATCTACATAATTTCCCTTCCTCATGATGCCATCTATTTTGTGACGTGCACCAGTCCCTCCTGCAGCAAAGCACCCCCACAGCATGATGCTGCCACCCAGTGCTTCACGGTTGGGATGGTGTTCTTCGGCTTGCAAGCTTTCCCCTTTTTCCTCTAAACATAACAATGGTCATTATGGCCAAACAGTTCTATTTTTGTTTCATCAGACCAGAGGACATTTCTCCAAAAAGTACGATCTTTGTCCCCCTGTACAGTTGCAAACCGTAGTCTGGCTTTTTTATGGCGGTTTTGGAGCAGTGGCTTCTTCCTTGCTGAGCGGCCTTTCAGGTTATGTCAATATAGGACTTGTTTTTCTGTGGATATAGATACTTTTGTACCTGTTTCCTCCAGCATCTTCGCAAGGTCCTTTGCTGTTGTTCTGGGATTGATTTGCACTTTTCGCACCAAAGTACGTTCATCTCTAGGAGACAGAACACATCTCCTTTCTGAGCGGTATGACGGCTGCGTGGTCCCATGGTGTTTATACTTGCGTACTATTGTTTGTACAGATGAACGTTGTACCTTCAGGCGTTTGGAAATTGCTCGGAAGGATGAACCAGACTCGTGGAGATCTACAAT